AACCATCAGACAGTCTGGGGTCCCTCAGTCATTTTCTTCCCCTCTACATCCTATTTAAAAGAAAAAATAGAAAACTTTCAAGCATAAAGAAAAGTTAAAAGAATTTCACAGCAAGTAGCTGCAAAATACCTAGTGCCTAGAATTTTTCATCAGCATTGACATTTTTAAAATTTATTTATTTGGTGCAGTGTCTCATTAAGCAGCTCAGACTTCTAGTGATCCTCCTATCTCAGTCTCCCCAGCGCTAGGATTACAGGTGTGTGCCACCATGCCTGGTTTTCTGGCCGGCACCTCACGCCTGGGGTTCCATGGCCAGCAGAGCATGCAGTACTGGGGATTAAACATGGGTCCTTGCATTTTCCAGGCAGATTCTTAGATTGCCAAGTTATTGCCTCAGCCCCAGCATTGACTTTTTTATTTAGTTAGCTTGGTAAGGGATTTGCTTATGTTTTTGTTTTTAGACAGTCTTTTTAGTAGCCTGGAGTGGCCTTGAACAGGAAGTGATCTGGGATTACTGCTGTGGGCCACCACCCCAACTGACACTGACACTTTTAGTACTTCAATGAAACTATAATTTCTGCAGTGGAATTATAATTTAAGTGTCAGAAAATCTACCCATCATAATAAAAATAAGCGATTTTTAAAAATCTACCCATTAAAGTGTACTGGTTTTCAGTGTATTCACAGAGATATGAGAAAATGACCACAATTTTAGGACATTCTCTTCACCTCCATAAGAAACTACATACTCCTTACGAGCTGTTCCCATTCCCCCCATCTATAAATATCCACTAAGTATTTTCTGCCTCCATGGACTTGTCTATTTTGAATATTTTATATTATCGTAATCAGACAATATATGGTTCCTGGTGACTGGCTTCTTCACTTACCATATTGTTTACAGGTTATTCATGTTGCAGCACAGATCAGTACTGCGGACCTTTGTTTGGCCAAAGAACATGCCATCGTACGTTGTTAACATCTCACTAGGTTGGCCTGATCACATTTGCTTGCTCTATGTCTTCATCTTCTGTCCATCCATTTAATCCACTTTGTATTTCCAAATGAGTGCACTTCCCTCTTTTATCTTAGCATCTGTGGCCTGCACACCTCTCCAATCCTGCTCAAGCCACCGAGGTACAAGGGATTCTGGGAGCTGGTATCTTTAACCCCAAGTACCCTGTAGTAAATTTCTTACTCCATCTCTTGTAAATGCTCCTTATATGGACAGCCTTCTCAGTATGATAGATACTTCCTTATGATTCAGCTTCTTTGTGGCTTTTCAGTGAAATATCCTCAAAACACACACACACACACACACACACACACACACGCAGACATGCACACACGTGCACCTCCCTTATTTCACACACTATTATACCGTTTCCTCTTCTGTATTGAATTAACCTCTTGACCTGTCTCTGTCCCCATCAGTCTCTAAATTCTCAGGGGCAGGGCCAGGCTTTGCTGTATCTTGGTGTTTCTGGAACTCACTGTGGATATGGCTTAATAAATGTTTGCTGGCTTACTAAATGTCACTGTCCTTGCTGTTGTTTATTTACCAAACATTGTTTGGGCATGTGGCAAGTGAGGCCCTGTAGTAAGTGTCTGGGTTTGGATACAAGAATGAGTAACACTGTGCAAGGCCTCAGAGACTCCCTTTTGTCTGGACAAGATGCCAAGACAACAGATGTGAGCCAGGACTGTCCCAGGCAAACCAGAACATATGGTCCCCTAAATTATATGCCAGCAGTATCATGCTGATTCATGCCCAGACTGTTAGCCCCTAGTCCCTTCCAGAAATGTCTTGCTTGGGCCAATTGCTTTTCATTAATGCTTGAATCATTTATGCTTTTCATTGTTGTTATCCATGCAGAAACTATCCTTGAAATTTCATATTCCTAAAGCATTACATATACTGGGTGTATGTAAAAAAGACATACCATTTCTTAAGAATTATACAGAAAGAAAATCACTTTTCAACATTTTTTGATGAACTGAATCACATAGGTGTAATCAATGTGTAAGTACCATGATATATTTATTACCAAACTGTTTGATTTTCTGTACTTTTTAAATTTTTTTTTTTAATTTTTATTTATTTATTGTGTGTGTGTGTGTGTGTGTGTGTGGCCAGCTCAGCCCACCAGGGGGCGCGGCTGGCTGGCATGTGGTGCTGGGGGATCGAACCGCGGTCCCTGTGCTTTGCCAAGCTTGTTTCAAGTAGGTGCTTTAGACCACTGAGCCATCTCTCCAGCCCTTCTGTACTTTTTAAATTAACTTTTTTGGTACTTTCTTTTTTAAGAGCAGAATATTTATTGGGGGAAAGAAAGCTTCTGTCCAAGACAGGAACAGAAGAGGAACTTGAGCAGGTTATCTCCCTTTGGTACATTTTATTTTAGTTTATTATTTTATTTTTTTGCAGTTTTTGTGGTTTTATTGAAGCACAAATAAACATGCACACAGGCCATCTACTCGTTTTCTTCGCTGCGCAGCCTGGCATTGGGATTGGTGACTCGGATGGCTAGCTGCGCTGTTCTTTCCACAATGGCCTTGTGGTTCTTAGAGGAGACATTGTGAGCAGTCTCTGCACAGTAAGACTTGTTGCACATCAGCAGCACCTCCAGCTCCTTAACATTGTGCAACAGGAACTTCCGGAAGGCCCTGGGCAGCATGTGCTTTGTATTTTTGCTACTTCTATAACCTACACTGGGAGTGAAGATCTGGCCCTTGGACCTTCTCTGCACCCTGCTGTGGATGCCTCTGGGTTCCTGCCACTTTGCTTAATTTTGACACATCGGTCTGACTGGTGCTGGATGAACTTCTTGGTCCACTTTTTAATGATCTTGGGCTGCACGAGGGGTCTGAAGGCCGCCATGGTGCCAAGTGGGAGATGGCTGCCACCTCCGTAGGTAGTGCTGAGGAAGAGAGTCCTTTGGTACATTTTAGGTATGCACCATGAAAGCATTCATCATAGGAAATTTGTACCTGTACATAATATTTCTTGATTTTTCTTTTTTTCCCATTCCCCTCCCCACTTAAACCCTTCTTCCCTTCCTATTTATTTATTTATTTATTTTATTTTTGAGACAGAATATTAGTTCTGCCTGGTCTCAAATTCACAGCAATAATCTTGCCTCTTGCCTCACAAGTGCTGGGACTACAGGTGTGCACCACCACACCCAGCTTCCCCTCTTTATTTACAAAAGCTTTGTTTCTATTTTTTCCTTCTATTTTCTTTTTTTCCTTTTCTCTTCTTTCCATGTCCCCTTCCCTCCCTCTTGCTCTCCTCCCCATTTCAATATTTTCTTCCTACTTCACATTATCTATTATACATCTTTATTGTCTTTATTGATGGTCCTTTTGGTATTTCCCCCTTGAGATTCTTATGAAAAATGGGTCCCTTAGGGGCCAGGGAAATGGCTCAGTAGAATAAGTGCTTGCCTGGTAAGCACAAGGGCCTGAGTTCAAAATCCCGGGTCCACCCAAAAAAAGAAAGAAAGAAAGAAAGAAAGAAAGAAAAATGGGTTCTTTTTTTTTCTTCTTCTTCTTTTGAGTCATTTCTTTGCAGTTCATACTGCAAACTTAGATAACCTAGTTGAAGAACAGGAACACTTTGATACTCCATCTTCCCTTGTTCTATGTCATATTGCTCTCCTAAAATTCTGAGTTCATTTATCAAGCCCATTTATCTTTTCCCCACATTTCTGACAATAATTTAAATTATGTTAATTCACTAACAAAAGCTTATGGTCATTTTAGGACATTCTTTGTTTGCATTTTTAATTGCTACGGGACTTACTCTGCATTTCAACCGAAAGCAATTACAGTTTTTGTGAAAACACACTATGATATAAATATATACTTTATTATTATTATTATTTTTTTACCTAAGGTCTTTTTTTTTTTCTTTTTTTAAATTTTTTTTATTTATGTGTGTGTGTGTGTGTGTGTGTGTGTGTGTGTGTGTGTGGCCAGCTCAGCCCATCAGGGGGCGGGGCTGGCTGGCATGTGGTGCTGGGGGATTGAACCGCGGTCCCTCTGCTTTGCTAAGCTTATTCTAAGTAGGTGCTTTAGACCACTGAGCCATCTCACCAGCCCTATATACTTTACAATTACATGGTATGTTACAGGTATTTGTTAAACATTTGTGGAATGAATGAATCCATTAAAATCAGTGCTGTCACAAAAATATAAATACCACATGACTCTACTTTCAAGAGGTAGCTAGAATAGCCAGATTCATAGGGACAGAAAAATAGAAGGACAGTTGCCAGGGTTGAGGAGGGGGGAAGAGTTTGAGAGAGAGACTCCTTGCTCAGCTGTGTGAATGAACTCAGCATGATCAAACTGTACACTTATAGTGGGGAAGATGGTCAATTTTACGTTGTGTGTACTTTATTACTTGAACATATCGTTTCACTCATTGATTATTTGACGTATCTTGTCAATATAAGCATACGCATTCTATATGTAGTCTTCCCTGTTAAATCTTAGTATTTGCTCAACTAAAATATCAATATTTATCATTTAATGTGGAGATTGACAGGAAAGACGTGTGGTGTCAGCATCACGACACAGCAGAGTAAGTGTTGCAGAGTGGATCACACTGTACAAACATTCAGTATTAGGAAGAAAGAGCTTAACCTTAAAAATCTTATGTATCTATTTTTCTATTATCTTTGAATCTTTAAAAAGGCAGAGCTTAGGTGATCGTAGAAATAGCCCTTGAACTTTTCATCATAAAAATGAGATGAGAGATTTATTTTTTTAATTTTTAATTTAATTTAATTTTGCTTCAAAATTAGCCCATTTGCTTCTACAAATTGCATTTTTCAGAGTGGCCCAGGGCTGCACCAGAGGCTGCAGGGAAGCCCAAACAAATTAGGGTTCCCTTAACAGGATAGCAAAGTAGAATAAGTATTGGGTTGGCAACAAGCAGTGTCTGTTGCATTCCCCTGAGTGTTTTTGTCTTGTTTTGGTGTTCGTTGGGGGCCCAGGCTGGAACCAACGGTTACATGGCTCCTGAAATCCTGATGGACAATGTGAGCTACTCCTACCCTGTGGACTGGTTTGCGATGGGATGCAGCATTTATGAAATGGTCGCTGGGCGGACACCCTTCAGAGATTACAAGGAAAAAGTCAGTAAGGAGGAGCTGAAGCGAAGAACCTTGAAAGAGGAGGCCCTGTTCCAACATGAGAATTTCACAGAGGATGCAAAAGATGTCTGCAGACTCTTCCTGGCCAAGAAAGCTGAGCAGCGCTTAGGAAGCAGGTAAGTGGACATCAGCATTGCAGTGATGGCTTTGGGCTTGTGCCAAGATTTGCAGTTCAGTATTATTATATTCCTAATATTATTTTCATATAATATTAAGCATTTATGGTTAAATATTTCTAAGGCTTTCAAACACTATAAGCAGTTGATATGGAAAAAGCTACAAAATATAACTTACAGGGAATAAATGAGGTGCAGAACAATTTTCATTAAAAAAAGAAAAGAAAACAAGGGAGGGCTTAGGGCCATAGAACACTTGCAAAGCAGGCACAAGGCCCTGGGTTCCAGGCCTGGTACCAAAAACAAATAGAAAAGAAGAACACATAATTCAAATGATTGCATAAACCATTTCCAAGAGCTACAAAGGATTTATACAGTTGGGTGTGATGAAGGCAAACTGGAGACTGGTGATTAATGTAAATGAAGACTTTCATTCTGTATCTTTATTGCAGGTAAAGCAGGTAATAGCTCAAATATGGAGCTATTTGAATGAAGTATACATTCAAAAATGACTAAAATGAAAATTTTAAAGACCTCAATCATACCCCCAGAAAATTCTGCCACCTTGGAAAGTCGCCCTTAAAATTCCATTAATTACTCAACAGAGATTTAGTGACATGGGTGTGATGGCACACACCTATTAGCCCAGGTACTTGGGAAACAGAGACAGGAGGACTCCTTGAGCCCAGAAGTTCAACGCCAGCATAGACAACATAGCAAGACACATAGCATACCTCAAAAAAAAAAAAAAAAAAACCCAAAAATTAAAGATGAGTGACTGCATTATGCAGGGAGAAAATTAGATTTATATAGATTGACATCCTTGCTCTACAATATACTGAGCAATTTATATCAAGTAATAGAATCTTTTAGTTTTTGCTATGTAAAATGAATGATCTGTGAGGGTGGTGGTGAATTTAAAATATTAATTTGATGAGGCCATAGGACCCAGGTTTTGGTCAAACTATATTGTAAATCTTTCTGGGCAGGCTTTTCCTTGAGATTAGTACTTAATGTGGTAGGCACTGAGTCAGACACCTGACCCTCCATAATACAGGCAGGCTTCTTGCAGTCAAAGGCATTAATAAAGAAACATCAATCCCGGGGCCGGGGAGATGGCTCAGTGGAATAAGTGCTTCCCCAGCAAGCACAAGGGCCTGAGTTCAATCCCCTGTTCCAAAAAAAAAAAAGAAAAGAAAGAAAAAGAAGAAGAACCATCAATCCCTCTAGAGTTGTTTTAGTACTCAACTCATCCCCGGGTCTCCAATCTGCCAGGGACCCTGCAGCCTCTGGATTCCAGGTCCAGGTGGAGGAGTGAGTCCTTAGGATGAGCTGCCTCTCCCCTCTTAGGCTCAGTGCTTTGGAAGCTACAAATTAAACAGAAAGTATATGAACATGAGACAAAAATTTTTTTTTAAAGGATTTTTTCTTTTACATTTATTTAGTGTGTGTGTGTGTGTGTGTGTGTGTGTGTGTGTGTGTGTGTACAGTGTGGCCAGCTCAGCCCACCAGGGGGCGCAGCTGGCTGGCATGTGGTGCTGGGGGATCGAACCGCGGTCCCTGTTTTTTGCCAAGTTTGTTCCAAGTAGGTGCTTTAGACCACTGAGCCATCTCTCCAGCCCATGAGACAAATTTTTACTAGGCACTTAGGCATGACTTTAAAAAAAGTTAGAAAGCCTGGAGTAGTGGTACACACCTGCAATCCCAGCACTTGGAAGGCTGAGGCAGGAAGATCACTGTCAGTTGGAGACCAGCATGGACTACAAAGTGAGCCCAAGGCCAGCCTTAACTGCAAAGGGAAACCCTGTCTCAAAAAGACAAAATAATAATAATAATAATAATAATAATAATAATAATAAAGAGACAGAATTTGGAATATATACACCATCTTAATAGAGAAAGAAAAAAAAATAGAGAAAGAGGAGAGGGTCAAAAACACTTAAGGGAAAGCAAATGATTTTTAAGAAAGATGAAGGAGCCCATAGAAGACTAGGTGGAAGGCATAATAGCTTTCACTGTTTGGCACGGCACTGGTCATCTCCAGTCACTCTTTTCTACTGGGACTCTTCAGAGTGAGGATTTGTTTTAGCTGAATTTTTTGGGAATGCTCTGTTTTAGGCACATGAGAGAGTATAAAACCTATGTCTCTTAACTCTCAAATTCCTTCACCTCAAACTGATTTTGAAGCAGGACACAGTGGCACACATATGGTATCTTAGTACTCTGAGAAGCTTAGACAGGAAGATCTCAAATTTCCTCCACAGTTAGTGGAGGTTTCAGTCCATACTCAGCTGGTTCCAAGGCAGAGGGCAGCACTTCATGGGGGCAGAAAACAATGAAGAGCAGAGGAGGAGCAGCAGCTGCGCAGCTATCAAGCCTCCCACTGTTCCTTCCACGCTGACTGCCAAGACTACAGCTTCTCAGAGAAAGTGGCGGGGGCTGATGCGAAGATCCAAACTCCTTTGAAGTGGCCTGGCTGCACCAATCAAGCTCCTCCAAGGAAGTGGGGTGGGAGGTGTGAAGCCTTCCTAAACCCCTTGATATGCCCTTTTAGTGCTGAGTCACTCAAGGGTGGGCCCTCACCCCCACCCCCCAGGGCCTAGAATGGCCAAGGATTCAGCCAAGCTTCCCAATGTATCAACCACCACACCTTGAGAGAGAGGAATAGAAAAAGGGAGTGAGACTGGAGATGTAGTTCAATTTGGGAGCCGGGGATGTAGCTTAGCAGCACTACGCCTGCCTGACAAGTGCAAGGCCCTCAGTTCAATTCCCAGTGGGGGAAAAAAAAAAGATTGTGGGTTCAATCCTCAGTACTACAAGATAATCTTGATGTTTAGTAGCATATCCTGGATCCCTTTTACTTCCTACTGACTGGGATATTTTGAGATTCTGATATGATATAGTGAGTAACTAGAAAGTGATAGTAATTATTTTTTATTTATTCTAGCGGTAATAGCAGATAATATTCTGATTAAACTATGAGCTTGAAAATCTTAAATTGCTTAGATTAAATTTCCAAACTAATCTATACACAAATACATGAGCTGGAGATGTGGCACAAAGGCAGAGCTCTCATGAGAGGCCCTGGGTAGATCCCCTACCACAAACATATTCTACATAGTTTGATAATACACCGTGTGTGTGTGTGTGTATGTGTGTGTGTGTGTGTGTGTGTGTAATTACAAATATGGGGTCAGGTACTGAGGCATACACCTATAATCCCAACTACTTAGAACCTGAGGGTAAAGGGTTACAAGTTCAAGACCAGCTCAGAGAACATACCAAGACTCATCTCAAGAAGAAGAAGGAGGCAGGGGGGAAGGAGGGGGAAGGAGGAGGGAAGGGGGGAGGAGGAAAAGGAGGAGGAGGAGAAGGAGGAGGAGGAGGAGGAGGAGGAGAACAACAACACACACACACAAACACCCATATGAAACTTATGGCCATAAAGTACTGACTGATTTTGAATATAACACAAGTACTCAAGAAGCCAAATTACTCTATTCTGAGGCTCTCTTAGCTTGTAATGTCCTTAGTATAGAGTCAAGCTTCTAATTTTTTACCTGATTTTTTTTTCTTTTTTTCAGGGATAAGAATCCAACCCAGAGGGCCTTTCATATGCCAGGCAAATGCTCTACCATTGAGCTACACCCCTAGCCCCAACCTGATTTTTTTTTTTGTAAATAACCAAACAAAATTCCTTTGTAATGACTTTCAGAGCATAACCAATTGGCCAAATGAACTAGTGAGCACTTTGAAATTAGATAGAATTCTACCATATGTAGAATTAAAATATGGAACCAATTTTCCTGTGTAGATTTCAACACTGTATTGGTGAAGTCAAAAATAATCTACGATCTGATAATAAGGAGAGTCCAAATCTCAGGAGCTTAGAACAGAACAGACACAAAGTCCCATTCACCCCAAGCCAGTCCTGGGTCCGGCAATTACTGGGGCACAGCTCTTCCCAGTGGTGACTTGGAGACCTAGGCTGCTTCTGTCTGAGCTCTATGGAACCTGTGGCATCCAGTCACTGTGACAGGAAGAGGAAGCAGAGAGAACTTGAGGCACTTTCTCCTGCTTCAGCCTGTGTGTGCCACACTCCATACATCACCCCACATGTGTGTCTGTCTCCGGTCTGAGGATGAAGGAGCTGTGAGTGTCCTCTTTGCACCCAGGAAGGGGAGGGAACCCAAATATGGTGGTCACTGACAGCTCCCAACGCTCTGGAGGTCAGGAATCTCATGCAGTCCCTTTGGATGACTTCCCTGAAGTCACACCCACTCCCTTGAATGCCTCCTTCCACAAATTTGATTCAAAATCTATCTCAGCCTGCCAGTTAGTCAGTCAGTCAGTCAAGTCAGGCAGGCAGGCAGGCAGTCAGTCAGTCAGTCAGTCAGTCAGTCAGTTAGTTAGTGAAACATATCAGGTTTGGACCCAGGGCCTTCTCACTAAGCTACAACCCATTTTAAATTTTTTGAGTCAGGGTCTTGCTACATTGCCCAAGCTGGGCTTGAACTCATTATCCTTCTGCCTCCCAGAGGGCTGGGTTAGAGGCATGCACCACTGTGCTCAGTTCTGTCTCAGTACTGTAAATGCACTCTCGGTTTATGAGATGGAATGCTGCTATTTCAGGAAAATGTCACCTTAAAGCTCTGGATCTTTGCTGGAAGCTGCCTCACTCAGTAGAGCCCATGTATAAAGTATTTGTTGCTGTGAATGTTTTGAATAAAAATGTTTACAACATTACAAAAAAGGCATATAAGGAACAGCTGTTGAGTGAGAGACCTTTCCAAGGTTTTCATGTGGTTTCTCTGTATTTTTAAAAACTCAATCAAATGAGATAAGGCAGCAGTGTCCTCCAAAGCCAAGACAGATGTCTAGACAGCATCTTAGGAGGTGGAGAGAGCAGCACCCTTCCCACCTGCTTTCACAGGCTTGTGAGACACACCAAGCCCTCTCCTTCCCTAGCGTCACTGAAGACGACCTCCTTCAGTGCTTTCACCACTGCCAAAGTTAATCTGGCAGAGGAGTTCAAAGCTCTTCGGAGCATCTCACCATCTCCAGGCAGGGTCATCTATGGTGTTTTTCAATAAAATCAAAGGGAAAGACCACTTAGGTTTTTTTGCAGGCTTTCTTTAATAGTTTCTTCTACTGATAGTTCAGTAGAACAGCAGCAAATAATGGTCGAAGTGAGTGACTTCAGGGCCAATACTGCGGTTGTAGGCATCTTGGCAGACCAAATCCCATGGTGTGGTACTCACATATGGGCAGATGATATCTTTGCTTCATTAACAGTTGGAAGAAATCCACCATCATCTTAAGGTGTGGTATCACAAGAGCCTCTGCTTATGTGCTGAAATATATTCCACTCCAACAGGCAAAAGCCTTTGCCACTTTGTGTTTCGGTGTTATTAAATATGCTGTCCTTGATGGCCTCTCCTATTGTCTGAGGTATCAGCGTAGAGCCCAAAGTGACCAGCCTCTCAGTGGCCCAGACACTAGAGTTGGGGTGGAAGTTGGGAAGCCCGGTCATCACTGGTGGCGTCAACAACCATACTTGTTTTGGGAAAAATATAAGACAGGGATCCTGTGCCCCAGCGTCATCTAGCTGGCTGAGGAACATCAAGGAGGTTTCACAGGGGCCTGTGAATTCCTCATGTTTGTAACTTTCTGCACAAAGACTGTGGTCATCGCTGTGAAGACTGGCCTGGAACGTCTCAGTTTCTCTCAGTAACTCTCCCTCAAGGCTCTTACCCCAAAGATGTAAGTCACACAAACACCAGCTCAGTAGGTTCTGATAAAGGGCAGGCCTACATTTGCCCCATCTTTCAGTAGATGGGAACTTTGTGCCTTTTGGGTGAAAAGAGACACCTCACCCCTCACCCCCATGCAGCTCTCCAAACCCAGTGGGAAGTGCCCCACAAGTCCTGGCTGGCTTTGAACAAAGCAAGGCCTCAGTCACAGAGTGACAGACAGACAGACAGATGAACACGCACCAGATGCCTTTAGCCAAGTTCTTCTCTTCCATGGTAAAATTCCACTATAATTTTTCCTTCAAAAAATACACTTAGGGCTGGGATTTAACTCAGCAGTACAGCACCTGTCTTGCAAGTACAAGTTTGTGAGTTCAAGTCCCAGAACAAACATAATAATAATAATAATAATAATAATAATAATAATAATACTGCACCTATATTCTCTAGCTTCCTCAGGTACGTGGCTATTTATGAGTGCAGAAACAAGTTAAACAATTAAAACTATAGGCACCAGGAGTAAAAACTGTAGGCAAAACAATTAAAACTATAGGGAATCAGACAGTGTTCTTGTCCGCTGGTTCAGTATAGTGGTGTAAGTGAAGAGCTAACATTGTGAGAGCTAGAAGCAGGACCTGAGAAATGTCAGCTGAGGTCACTCTCACCACTAGGAGCATCTTAGCTGAGCCTAGCCTCTTGTCATCTTACCTTATTTTTCAAAGTCATGCTTTCTGTCCTTAAAGTGTCTTTGCAATCAAAATGAAATGCCTCATGAAAACAGTTGCTAATCACTAGCTATTGTTAGAACATTTCTTATTTCTATTCGTTAACTATCTCTGGCTGAGCTTTTCCTTCTTTCACAGAACAGACTCTGATGATCCCAGGAAACACCCTTTCTTCAAAATCATCAATTTTCCTCGCCTGGAAGCTGGCCTTGTCGAACCTCCATTTGTACCGGACCCTTCTGTGGTTTATGCCAAAGACATTGATGACATTGAAGATTTCTCCGAGGTGCGGGGGGTGGAATTTGATGACAAAGATAAGAAGTTCTTCCAAAGATTTGCAACAGGTGCTGTCCCCATCGCGTGGCAGGAAGAAATTCTAGAGTCAGGGCTGTTTGAGGAACTGAATGACCCCAACAGGCCAGCAGGTTACAAGAAGGGTAATTCGTCCAAGTCTGGCGTGTGTGTGCTACTGTGACTTGTCCCCTCTGCCAGCCGGAGTCTGCTGATGTTATTCCTGAAAGTTTCTATGTGATGGAAGGCAACTGACCCATAAGAAGGGACACATCACTTGGAACAACTCAAAGGATGGTGGGCAGCCTCACCACCAACACATTTTTTTTCTTCTTATTTTCCCCCATAAAAATTAGTAAAGTCTCAGTTTTCATCAAGGGCTGGGAAAAGGGACAGTCGGGTGTATTTTGATAAATTAAAGGAGTGAGTCCTCTGCCACCGTGTCTCTGAACTACACAAAGTACTAAGAACAGAGGATGGAACTCTGCAGTGTACCTGGAAAATAAGAAAAATGAGCATTTGCAATTCTTAGTAAATAATCATTTTAGTTCTTCTTCATTTGTATTTCTCCTCTCTTCATCTTTCAGTATTTCTTCTCCTTCTGTACTTATAAAAGAATTTTGAAGCTAGAAATAAATGTTCCCGATGCGCTCCCCTTGAAAGGAGTGGGCTGTAATACTTCGATAGTATTTCAGATTACACATAACTTTCAATTATATCAATAGTCTTTTTCATTTTTTCACTTTTTGGGGAAAATAATTTAATATCAGATTGTTGAAGCTCTTTCCCCTCCCCCCAATACTGGGGACTGAATTTAGGGCCTTTGCACGGGCCCACATCCCTAGCCCTTTTTTAATTTTTTATTTTGAAATAGGTCTCACTAACTCATACATTGTCCAGGTTGGGCTTGAATTTACAGTCTTCCTGCCTAGCCTCCTAGAGTGCTGGGATTGCAGGCATACGACACCACACCCAGCTGTCAAAGCACTATATATGTAAATATTCGTGAAGGGACGGTAGTATTCTGTTATTGTGGCTGGGTATTTTAAGCAATGTGCTATAAATTGCTTATATATGCAATTACATCTACCATCTGCCATCGGTTCCTAAGCTTTGCTGAAACTTGGAATCACTTAGGAATCTTTTAAAAATACGCCTGACTCCCACTCACATGGGTTAGGATCCATACCCCACATATGGGGTACAGTCTGGCCATTTCGATTTTCCAAAGCTCTCCAGGGATTCTAACATACAGCAAAGTTTCATAAGTACTGCCCTATATATTTATGTTATTGCACATAGGTCTAGTATTTGCTATGCAGAACTGTAATAAAATACCTGAAGCAATCCACTTATGAAGGGATTGCCAGGCCCAGGAATTAGCTCAGTGGCACAGCACCTGCCCACAGAGAGAGAGAGAGAGAGAGAGAGAGAGAGAGAGAGAGAGAGAGAGAGTGTGTTTGATGTAATCTTGGATAACTAATCAAGTTTTATGGAGAGAAACACTAATAGAGTTATGTTCCATTATTTTATCTTCTCTATACCAAAGGAAAATTTGAAGTTGTGATATACTTAATATTCCCCTGTGCACTATGTAGAAGTGTCAGGAATCACTGTACTCCCTGAGATAGAAAGTAATTTGAAAAAGCTGCTTGAATTCAAAAGAAAAATCCCATCACGGTAGCCTCGTACTGATCAATGTTGAAGGACATTCTGGGGGAAGAATGCGTAGAGGAGTACAGCGAGAGCATTAACGTGGCCCCACCTGGAAGCTGCCCTGCGGTCATCAGTGGCACTGCAGGTGAGTTTCTTATACTGATTTCTTATACCCAGTTAACATTAAGGTTTCCTGTTAGGCAGAAAGAGTTCAACTATGACCCTCAGTCTCCTTAATATGGGAAAACATTTCACACTGGCTGCTTCCCACACTGTGACTTCCCCTACCCTGAGTTTTTAATAATTCATCACTTTAATGTTTTAACCTACAATGAAAAGTTCTTTTAAAAAATCACCTGTAAGTTTTCATGGCTTTTCTAGCTATTGGGATACTTTAATTGAAAAGCAAACGAAATGTAGATGAATTGTACATAAAAGAAAAAGAAATTATAAATCTATCATATGGAATGGGAATGCTAAGACTGAAGAAAAAGAGTGGGAGACTAAAGAATTAATCAGAATGAAACAATTTTCACCTATGAATAAGAAAGTCTTTTGATAGTGCATAAGTAATGTCCCAGTTATGCGCTCCACGTACTCAGAGTCAATAATTTCTACCAGTCGCCGATAATGATCATCTAAAAGCATTAGCTCCCATGAGCAGTGCGCCTGGCATGGCTCAACAGGAAGCTGCAGCCCTCATTTCCAGTCCTGGAGTCTCAGGGCAGAGGGCTTGGAGAAGCCCTTTTCACCTCAGGGATTCTTAGTGGC